TTGTGGGTTTGTGGGTTAAATGAACCAACTCATTTATTATTTTTTCATATTTTTTTAAAAACTATGCTTAAGTGAAAAGTTCTATTATGATATTCCATGCAATTAAAATATGTTTGACATCATAAATGTATGAGATTGATCAATTTTAAGATAATTTATTCTAAAATCTATTTCTCTTATAAGGTTTTGGTACTAAAACTCCCTCCATTTTTTATTTTTTATAAAATAATGTGGTTTAAATATGTCAACCTTAACCCCTTTGAGTTATGAATTATCTAATTGGAGTAAAAAAGGATCCATTTTTATATGGATCAATATTTTTTTAGTTCAACTTGACCCTTATAGCAAGGTACTTGGGACAACTCTTATAAGCCAATCTATATTTCTAACTCTAGTCAACTATATTAGCTCAATACTTGCCTAACTCTAGTACAGTTTTTGTTAGGTTGGGACATCAAGGCATGATCAATTTTAAGAGTATTTATTTTTTATAAATTATCAAAAATAAATTTGACAGGCTAATATTCACTAATACTCTCTCTAGTCCTATTTATAAAGCAAAGAAAAAAGAAAAATTGTAATCTTATTTATAAGTCACGTAATTAAATTTTTATCATAATTTTTTTACCTTCCATTAAATGTTGGAGATAGAAAAATATATTATTGAAGTGTGTATATTTAATAAAAAAAAGTTAAAAATTTATTAAAATTTATTAAATTTTAAGACAAAGTTAATGAATTTTAAAATTTTTCTTAATATTAATAAAATATATTAAAAATAATTTATAAATAAGATTAGAAAAGTATTCTCTTTGAAGCATATTCTTGTTTTTCTGGTTGTAAATGACCATTTTGTGTAAGCTTCTTACATTTAATTTCCTATTAAATTCATCTTTACTTTTGGAGAGTATGGGTTGGGGAATATATGGTGCTACGCATTGCCTTTCGGGGAGCTAGGTTGGCACTAGCTGTAGAATTTTAGGCCAATAACTTATTTGATTTAATTACTTTGACATTATGGGACATCTTTTTGTTTTTTCATCAAATATTTATGAGACTGGACAAAAATATTAGATGTGAAAATAATTGCCTTTTGCAACTAAGTTTCTTATTGTAATGATCACGGGACACCCCACTCCTCAATTGAAATATTTTATTTTTAAAATCCCCAATTATTATTGTCCTGCTTTCCATCTTTTTGGGTTATAATCCATTATTTAATTTTGTTTTGGCTGACTACTTTGTACTTTTGCTCATTAAAAAAATGTAATTATATATGTTTCCTTATGTATATTTATCAAATTTGTGGCAAGCTGTAATACTTGTTTTAAATGTTGCGGTTTTCTATAACTTGCATATTCTGTATTTTATATTTATATGTTCTTAATTGTATTTTTAAGAATTATTTATACTCATCCAACAAATATTGATTCAATTAATAAAGATTTCCTTCATAATCTATAAGATTATGAAATCAAATCTAGTTGTTGATATGAAGACTTTATAGGCAGGCAATCTATAAGCATTTATATAAGTATTTTTTGAACCTGAAGTCATGCCGTAGTCTTGGTGAGCGATGAGCACCTAAGACCCAACTCACCTCAACTTTTGTTTATAAAAATATAATTATTTATGCTCATGCTAATTAATCAAATTTGAATTTTCAACACTTATAATATCCTCCTACAAATTTTAATTAATTTTCCTTAATTTTGGTAATTAGTTAGAAGTAACTTATAATAAATGGGAAGAGGGAAATTATTGAACATTAAAGTGTTATTATTTAATTTTCATATCTTAACCTTTTATCCTTTATTTGCAAAAGCAAAGTATGTAATAGCACAAATTAAATTTATTAAGGAGCACTTGATTTAATTTATTGAATGAATTAAATTAACTTATTAAATTTCAAGTTTGAGTCCTGAAATATACAATAAAGTTAAATAAAAATGCAAAAGCATTTATAAAATATTCATGAAATAATATTCTCAGGATTTTCAGGAAAGCGGGCGGAATAAAAAAAAAAAACACTTATTAAATTTTGATGTCATTCGGTATAAGACATTCTAGACGTATCATAAATTTGAAGTTACCGTCACCATAAACAAAACGTTGGAGTAAAGATAAAAACAATATCATTAGACTCAATTGTAGAACCCTGTATGTGTTATGATTCAGGGGGCAAAGCTTCTAAGATAAATAGTTCGAATAATTTACTTTCCAATTTTCTTTTGTCAAAAAACTTTCTTTCAGGCTACAGAAATTCATTTTTGCAATAAATTGCTTCCTCATTCTATTATTTGAAATAGGAGGTTAACAAAATTTATGTATTATTAGAAATATTATTATCCATATCATGGTAAATAAACAAATAAATTTTGCTGACTATCAAATCCAACACAGTTATAAATTAAAATTAAGTTACGTCTTTTTGTCAAAACTATATATATATATGTATATATATATGTAATCTCCACACACGCTTATTTATATATATAAATATAAGTAGAGGAAGTAGTAGTTTCAACAACAGAATGATATACAAATATTAAAAAGAGAAAAATATATAACTTTTAATTCTTAAAATTGTTTTCAATTGTCGATTTAGTCTTTGAGTTTTGAATCAAAACAAATTAGTTCTTATACTATCTTAATTAGGAACAACTCAATTTTTATAATTTTTTCTTACTTGAAAAAATCCAATTCTTACATAATTCCTTAACTTAACAAGTTACAAGAACTGGGTTGTATTAAATAAAAAATTTTTTTACTAACATACATTGATTCTGATAAAAAAAATATCATGACCACTCACTGGTTTAAATGTGTGTATATATATATATATATATATATAAACTTAGAGCTACTATTAATTTGACTTCACATTACTCAAATTTAATCCAAAAATAATATATATTGATATATAAAATAATGTTTAAGTAGTGTTTTTATCACAGAAAAAATCATGAAAAAGTACATTTGAAATATACAAATGACAATTAAGTATCATGAAATGTAATATTATTTAGTTTGCAAGAATTTATTTGACATTTTAATTTTTGAAAAAATAACATATATTTGCCTTCAGTGACTACTAAAATAGAATAGAAAATAACTACTTTCATTTTTACATATTTGTTTATCAATCAAATGTAACTATAATAGTCATTTTGAAAAGGAAATATCTATTTTCTAATTAGTTTTTAAATCACAAATTTGTAGAAATGAACTAATTATTTTTAAATGTTTTAGTTAATAGCCCGACCAAAATCAATCATTCCTCAACATATAATAGTAATTGATTTTTAGTATTTATACTTCACTCATAAACAAAACTCATAAAAAGAAAATTGTTATTTTCTATTTCATTTTATTCAATAACTCAACTGAAGTATTAATTTTTCTTCACTCAGTAATTAATGAGGGCAAATATGTTATTTTGTCAAAAATCACAATGCATGTCACATAAATCCTTAGGGACTAAATAATAATTATCATATTTTATTGTGTTTAATTGTCATTTATATATTTTAAGAGTGTATTTTAAAAAAAAAATTAGCTCAATGGTCTCAAAAAATACAACTTTCATAAATTATAGATGAGGTTTCTGAATATTTTAAAATATGCTCCATTCATAAAACCAATTAGAATTATTTTTTTCTTTTTTATCCTCAAAAAAATTTATTATTAAAACATAATATATTTGATTTAACTAATGTTTAACTGATTGACTCTTTCATTTTTATTATAAAAAATTGTATTGTGTGTGCTCCCTTTTTGATTTATCATCTCTGAATATTTTCGTCATCAGATTTTTTGATATGATTTTCTTGGTCACCATATTCATCTTTCATATAGTGCTTTTTTTCATTAGAATTTTTGATGTGATTTGCTTGGATCACCATCTTCATTGCAAAGCTTTTCCTCTTTCTCCCTTTCTGTTTTTTTTAGATATTATGAAGAGGACATTGAACATTGAAAAGAAAACTCCATTATTGAGTTGCGATACCATATCATCATTATATATTAATGATAAATAAATTGGTAAATTTTTACTAATATAGCTTATTTATCAATGATATATAATAGTATATTATTGATATGCTATCATATATTAATATAACCAAACAATCAAACATAAACTTATTTATAATTGATATATAATTATATATCAATAATGTAGTATTACAGATATAACATGAAAAATGCATAATTATTTGTCCAAAACAAATCAAACATAGCCTACAAAAAAATTTAAATTCTTAACTTATTATAGAGAATCAAACACTTAAACTAATAAAATGAAAAATTATGAATTTGTAGCTCCATTTTCTCACCGATATGTTAGGTATTGTTGATGTATGTCACCTTGCATTTGTCTCTCACTGTCGTGACTATGTCTTACTAACACTACTTTGCTATCTCACGTTTGTTCCTCTTGCATCAAGTTTCGTTTTTTCTCTTACATTTGTCTATCTCATTTTAGAGATTTTTTACGTTTTGAATCTCTTGCTATTTGCTATTTGAAAAAAAGATATTAAAAAGGATATTTTTGTAAATTAATTATAATTTAGATATTAAAAAAGTTATTTTTAAAATTTAAAAAAGGATATGTTATTTCTTTTATTTGATCTTGTAATATGGATTATCTGTGTAAAAGTCTCTATTTTTTTTTCATTCTCCCACTATTATACATATTTTTTTTTGGCCAGAACATTATTATACATGTTATGTGTGTGTGTGTATATATATAAACTCTTTTTCTTTACCAATAATATAATTATATGAATTTGGATCTCCAATTTAATGAAAGACCATTCAAAAAGACCATTCAAGCTAATTACCATAACGGCCTAGCCTAGAAACTAGAAAGAACCCCTAACACGTGCGCCTACCTCTCTCTCTCTCTCTCTCTCTCTCTCTCTCCCCCCCCCCCCCCCCCCCCCTCGGAAACAAATATTCTTCTTCTTCATATGGGCCGAAGCCGAACCCAAGAAATTTTAAAAAAGTTAGAAAGCCGACAGACAAAATCTAAAGCTCAACTTATCATCCTTCCTCCTTCATTTCCTCCTTTCGCTGTTACTCCCTCCTTTACCTGAACTCTCTTGTTTTTTTTTTTTCGTTTTTTGTTTTGGACTTTTTCAAAACACCCACCAACGCCTTTCTTTCCCACTCCCACGTTTTTTCTCAAACGCTCTTCAGCAGACACGCCAGTGTCTTGTCTCTTCATTCTTTTGATCCTTTCTGGAACTTCGATCTTGATTGAAATCTGGAGTGATTCAAGAACTGAGGAGGAAATTTTGAGCCCGATCCCACTCTTCTTTCCTCAAACGTGTTTTGCACGGCCTGAACTTAGTGTTTTCACTCGTTCAACAGTCACTCCCACATGGTAATGGCACTCCCCTACTTCTCTGTTTTTTCCCCATGTTTCCATTCTTCCCAAGGATGTGGGAGAGTAAATTTTTTTTTGAATTTTTGCTCATGGAAGCTAGCTCTTTGTGGGTGGCATTTATTTATGAGCTAAGAGAATATTTTCTTTCCTTATTTACTAATGTTCTGATCATTTGATTTCATACGGATTTTGATTCTGTAATAATGAAGAAGACCATATGGAAGAATCTTAAGACACACTGGGTCGATCTGGCGTCATGAAGGGGCCTTCTTGTGCATACCCAGTGTTTTGAGATTTGCCATGTGTGGAAGACACACGGCCGGGAAGTTAAATTTTTATTAGAACCCAGGTAAAAAAAAAAAAAAATGCAGTCCAGGTTGGGGGCATTGGAGGAAGGGAAGGAACCTACGACTACATCTAGAACAAATCAATCCAGGCCCTTCCCTTTGAGACTATTGAAGTTCTTCTTGCTTTTCTTGATTGTTGGCCTCGTTGCTTCAATTGTTAGCATTTTTATGGTTCGGCGTTTTGGAATCAACACTGTGGCCCTAGTACAGTCTAGTTCTTTTAGGCCCTGCTTTGAGCAGCCAGGGAGCATAGAAAGCTGGATTAGGCCTCCATCAAATTTATTACATACATTAAATGACACTGAACTGTTCTGGAAGGCTTCTTTTGTTCCAGGAATCAAGAGCTATCCATTTAAAAGGACTCCCAAGATTGCTTTCATGTTCTTGACGAAGGGACCATTGCCATTGGCGCCGCTTTGGGAGAAGTTTTTCAAAGGGCACGAGGAGCTTTATTCAATTTATGTTCATTCACTACCAACTTACACGTCTAACTTTCCTCCATCTTCAGTTTTTTATAGGAGACAGATCCCAAGCCAGGTATGGACTACCTTTTATTTTACTCTATATTTTCCCCAAGATTAATGGCACAATCTGTTGTGTTTATTTATAAGAAAGTAGCATTATCTATCTTTGCTAAATGTTCATTGACATAGCTTCTGTGAAATATCTGTCTTCTGTAGACTAGCATAGATAAAAATACCAGTCACCTGTATACGGGTGGTTCAATCTATCTATGTTGTTATTCGTTATGGCCTTCCGTAATGAATGGTTATTTCTGATAATTTTTAATGATTGCCAGACCTTGATCTTTTGTGTAATAGAGTCTATTAGTATAATAGCTTTATTTTGCTATCATTCCTTTGAGTGAAAAAAAAATTCAAAGAGGCAGATGTAACATGTGTTTCCCTCTGTTGTCTGTAAGAACTACCATCTAGAAAGTATTCTTTATTTGAATCCTCATCTACGTAAGTGCGCCATGATTAAAGAGGACATGACTTCTTTTGATCTCTTTCATGGATTTTATTTCTCCAGCTTGAGATGCATTGCTTCTGTATCATTTATGTCATCTCCGTATCATTAAAAAGAAAAAAAGAAATCTAGAGAACAGTACTTCTTCCAAAAAATAAACAGACACATTATTTGAATACTGGCCTCCTTCAACCGGGGGAATCCCTCCCTCATGATTTTGTGTCTGCTGTATTTGTGATTCTGGGCATAGTGACGTTGCATGATACATGACATTGGGTAGGAGGCTAAAGCCATTCTGGATCCTTATATAGTAGTTTCAATGTTGGGGGATTGATGATTATTATCTTTTAAGTTCAAGGTACTTGGTGAGCTGTCCTGTACTTGGTCGTTGGTGAACTCTTTCATGCTAAACAGTGATGTGATTTTGAGAGGATATAGAGTTTAGGATTTATACTTTAATACACACTAACATGGTATGCAATTTATGTAGGGCCTTTAAGCCTCCAACTATCTGGATCAGAACCTTCCATCTCTCTTATCTCTGCATGGGAGAGGGGTTGTAATTTGGTTGTAGAAAATAGTTGACAGTTTGTTTTTACTATGAGTATTTTCCATGCTTCATGAATGTCAGATTCATTCTCCCTTCTGATCTAATTGTTGATGTGATAAGCATCGAACCATCATTGCGATCAGATCACACACTCACAGAAACCAGGAACAAACCATCATTAGTGTCACAATGTCATGTTTCTTCTTGAAAATATGTTATTCTTCGTTGCCTAGTTGTGATGGCATTGAAGTATATTTCTGGAAAAAACTGTATCTGAATTTCTTGTTTTAAAAAAGATTTTGATAATGTGATTGTTAGGCCATGAACCTGGAGGCAAACATTTGGTTGAGCATTTTTGATGACTATTAAATTACTAATCAGCTCTTTCTTGCTCAGGTGGCAGATTGGGGAAAGATGAGTATGTGTGATGCTGAGAGAAGACTCCTGGCTAATGCACTGCTTGATATATCAAATGAATGGTTCATCCTCCTGTCTGAGTCCTGTATTCCTCTCCAGAACTTCAGCATTGTGTACCGGTACATATCACGGTCATGGTACAGTTTCATGGGTGCATTTGATGAACCTGGTCCTTATGGTAGAGGGCGCTATAACGAACACATGGCTCCTGAGGTCAACTTATCTGACTGGCGTAAAGGATCTCAATGGTTCGAAATTAACCGGGAACTTGCTGTTAGAATAGTCGAGGACAGCACTTACTATCCTAAGTTCAAAGAGTTCTGCACACCACATGCATGCTATGTTGATGAGCACTATTTCCAGACCATGTTAACCATCAACACCCCTCATCTTCTGGCAAATAGGAGCCTCACTTATGTTGATTGGTCAAGAGGTGGTGCTCACCCGGCGACGTTTGGCAAGGATGACATCAAAGAGGAATTCTTCAAGAAAATCTTGGAGGAGCAGACATGTCTTTATAATAACCAGCCATCATCCCTTTGTTTCCTATTTGCTAGAAAATTTGCACCTAATGCTTTGCATCCTCTTTTAGGTATAGCATCCAAAGTTCTGAGGATTTGAGAATGGCCTAGCTTGACTGAGTTGAATCTTTGAAGGAGGTCTATTTGAAGCATATGTTAGTTTAGCTCTAAGTTAGCTCCTTCTTAGACACATCATACAATTAATCATCCCTTCCACCCTGCTTTGCAGAAATTTAGTTGCTCCTAGGTGTATAGGATGTTGATCTTAATTACATTTTTATACGGATATAAGCCCCAATTCATACTAATTTTTATTGGGTTATTAGATTGTTGCTTGCTGGTTCATGCAGTGGTATGCTGCTGTAACCAATGTAATAAAAACAGTATCCTCTTCCTTTCTGGAATGTCTTGACAATTATTAGGGAGCTATTTATTTGGCTAAACCTTTTATGTTCAGATTTTTTGGCATTGACTCAGCCCCTGAGCTTGTGATAGGCAAAGAACAAATCATTATAGAGGAATGACAAAATTTGCATCTCTGTATAAATATTAAGTGACATGAGAGAAATTGAAATTCAAGTTGATTTATTTTCAAGCTTGAGATGAGGTGAAAACACACGCTTTTGAAAGATTACAGAAGAAATTATTATCTTTTTACTTTTTTATTTATTTAATCTTAAAGAGAACGAAAAAAAAGTGTCATGGTAAGATCAAGGGAAAAACTTGGTTGCAAGATTTTGAATTGATCCTTATGAATGAACAAAAAAAGCTCACATTGAAAAACAATTTCATCATTTGGAGCCCAATAAGACTCAAATCTATTATTATTGAATAGTTGAGAGAAAAAGAGGGTGGTATTCTCATGTTTCTTTTCATTTTCCAAAGCAATTCCACGGTAGAATGTTGGGCTTAAAGAATTTAGAAAAGCATGTATGTACCAAAAAGAAAAAGAAAAGCATGTTAAGGGTGCCCTTCTTTATAAACACAAACTGACAAACACTATTATTGACGTGAAAAGAAAAAGAAAAGGATTTAGGGCATCAATTTTAAATTCTCCATAATAATGTGGCAACGCTACAATAAAGGAAATAACAGAACGAGATAGAAATGTGCGTGAAATCTAATTTTTGCCTTCACATTTTTATTTTCTTCGCGTTTCTTTCCTACTTCAATATCTATGATAACTAAATACAGAGAATTCAGATCTCATAAATTTAGTTAATTACTGAATCTCTAAGTTCTACTTATTGTTCCTTTCTCTTACTTGCAACTAAACAAAAATGCGTGAAACCAATGGCTTAATATCAGCTCAGTGCTCCAAGAAACGAACCAGCATGGATTTCCAGAGACAATTTAGATTCATAGTTCGTCATGACCTGTCCCTTCTGCAACCTTTACATCCTGCTGAAATTTAAGATAACTGGTAGCTAATGAAGCATGAAGTGCAGCTCCATAAGGAAGAACGTCTTCGTTGACTCTGAAATAAGGTGAGTGCAGCGACTCAAGTCGTCCGAAAGAAGTACTCTCCATTCCCAGAAAATAGAAGTAACCAGGGATAACCTCTTGATAAAATGAGAAGTCCTCAGCTCCCATTATTGGCTTCATGTCATTAACCTTTTCTTTGCCAAGCACATCCCCAGCAACCTGTTGAAAATGCTCGTGCAATTTTCCGTCATTAACGGTGGCAGGGTAGAAGATGTGCGTTTCTTCAAAAAAGTTAACTGTTGCATTGCACCTCTGTACAGCAGCTTGTCCAGTGATAACCTGAAGAAATGTATTAGCCTTGAGCACTAGCAGAATTGCAAAACAAAACAATAGCCTACAATCGGTTTTTGCCACAATATAATCATGTTTGAGCGTGCATTTTTTATTGAGAGGTGCGAAGAGTAATCAACAACAATTGGATTAAAAATCAACTGTCCAGAGTAATGCAAAAGTTAACGAAGAGGGGGATTCTCTCTCTCTCTCTTTTGGGTTTAAAAGTATGTTTGTGCTTTCCAAAATACTGCCATTGGTCAGTAGTTTTAAAATCTGTGTGATCTGTACATGTACTTGTAGTTATTTTGATTAATAATTTTGAACAGATAGAACAGACATGATGTCATAATAAAATCAAGAAAGATCATGCATGTGTTGATTCGATGTTGTAAATGTCACGGTATCAATGGCTTAGCACATAGTTAATGCTATGCATGAGCATGATATATTGTTGAATATATCATGCATACAATATCATGCCAAGCATTAACTACGAAGAACTCATGTAAAAAGTTGGGTGATCTATAGGGAATTAACCGTATACTTGTAACACAACTGACCATCAATTTAAAGTATAATTCTTGAATAAGATGGTTTTATTTCAGTAGTTACATCCGGTAATCTGAATTGACATTGTTATTCCACAGTCGAACAGCATTTTTATGTCGTTTGTTGGATCATATTTAAGCTATTTAATCCAAACAACCATAAAGAAAATATATAATCTATGACTCAGGTGGTAATGCAAACAAGAAATGAACTCTAAGCATCAGAAAAGAGGGAAAACATATTCTAACAGAGACACCTGCTCAATCCGCTGTCTTAGTTGCATAAGACTTTCTTTTGAAAAGGAGCGGAAGGTGCCACCAATGGTGACAGAATCTGGAATAACGTTGAAAGCACCGCCTCCTTGGAATTTTGCTATTGTCACGACCTGCAAAGACAATCATAATGTTAGGCAGAGACAAGATTGTCACTCCAAGCAAGGAAAACCCTCCAAGATTTCTAATCATTTCCATAAGTGATAATACAATGATTTCCTGGAGTTTGGAATCCATTCCAAGATGACTCAGCTACAAAATGCCACACATCCAGGATTTGCCTTTTTACCCTTTATCACATCCACTTCCTATTGCACTTCCAAGATTAACGTTGTATGCTACTTAGATTCACTAAAAGTAGTATTCTTACTTTTTATGTCTTACATGTTTCTCTTTTCAAGAAGCATAATTGAAAGCAGATGACATTTTAATTTGTCCACAAGCATACCACCAAATCATCACAAGCAGATTGGTTCAAGTGTTTGGAAAGCACTAGATATGTCCCACTACCATGGAGGTTCTTTTTACAATCTGCTCGAGGTTTTGGGTAAAAGGGAGAACAAAGAGCTTTGGTGTTGCACCTTACAGATCTTAGACGGTTCGAAATGTGGTACAAACTTATTGATCTTAAACTGTAAAGCAACTAAATATAAATAACTGGGTGGTGGTAATTGAAAAGGAGAAGTGAAAGACACTTACCTGAGAGTCCAAAGGATCGGCCTCACGAGAGACAAGGTGCTGTAAGCTAACAATCACATTAGAAGCTGCCAATATGGGGTCTATAGAATGCTGAGGAAGAGCTGCATGGCCTCCCTTTCCACTTATTACCGCTTCAAAGAAGCCACTTCCTGCCAAAAGAGGACCAGATCTAGAGCCTACTTCACCTATAGGTAAGTTCGGCAGAACATGCAATCCAAAGATAGCAGAGACATTTTCTAAGGCTCCAGCACCTAGAATTTTCTTGGCCCCTGCACCTCCTTCCTCTGCTGGTTGGAAAACTAGAACTACAGTTCCCTATTTAGAGTTTAGAAGGGGGGAAAAAAGGATGATGAGGTATATCATTGAGTGGAAGAAAACACAGGACAAGACAATTGAAGAGTAGACCACATGGTTGACTGTACAGGGAAAATACATATTCTTTTCCCGTAGTGCTTATATATTGACTACCACAGTCAAAATTTAGGAACTGCAATTTAAAAGTAACATGGCCTTAACCGGGAAAAAAATGATAACAAATTGCCTATAGCAATGAAAATGGTGTCAAACTTTTTCATCTTTTATTTTTTCCTTTATTGTGAATTATATATTATATATTTCAAGTAGACTTCAATAGTACATTAACTATAAATATCTGACACGATGAAGTGTAGTGATGTCACATTCGAATATCGGAAACAGAAATATTTCAATGTTTTTAAAAATAGTAGAGCAAAACATACCAGTATCTCTTTTTCGTGCTCTTTGAGGATCTTTGCAGCACCGAGAAGCATAGTCACATGAGCATCATGGCCACAAGCATGCATCTTTCCAGGAATTTTACTCTTGTGCTCCCACTCCACCATTTCCTAAAGTAGTCAGGAGTAGCAAAAAAATTAATCAATACACCACAAATACCAATATAGAGAGAGCTCTAACAAATTTGGCCTCTCATTAAGTCAGTTTAAGTGGTTGGACAAAAGCGAATGATCATGACAGAGAGAGAGAGAGAGAGAGAGAGAGAGAGAGAATTTGTTAAGAATTCAAATACCTGCATAGGAAGAGCATCCATATCAGCTCTTATAGCGACGAAGGGAGGTTGTCCGGTGCCTATATAGCCAATAACACCGGTGACTGCGACGGGGGTATTTATATGATATGCCCAATGTATCCAGTTCTTTTCTGCTCAGCTCACTGGTCTGAAATTCCTCATAAAGCAATTCAGGATTCTCGTGAATCTTCCTTCTGATTCCGACCATCCAATCAAAAACCTCACGCTTCTTGGCAAAATTCAAAAATTCGGTGGACGTCGAAGAGAGTTTCTTTGAGCTCAAAGAGGGGTCCGAGGAGATGAGTGCTGCCGCAAGGAAAAGGTAGATGATGATCATACTGACCCACCAGAAGAAAACCCCATGGTTGGTCGCTTTACGAGTGAAGGGGGAAGAAGTTCAGAAAAGAACAAGCAAAGATTTTGATCCCCAAAAAAAAAAAAAAAACGGACCAACCAGAAAAGTGTGATAAAGATAGTAAAGATGAATGCTATTATAAATCTGAACTGTTAACTGTGAGCCATCATCAGATGAATCGCATAGGAGAGGAGGGGACGTTGTTGTCAACGAAGGCACACAGGACAGCACCGAGCACACTAAAAGACAAAAGAGGAAACAAATATACTATCTTCAAATCAGAAGATTGAAAGAGGCTCGAGCTTTTGCTCGCCCTTATATCGCAAAAACAAGATTGAAAGAGGCAACCCTAATTTTTTTTTTTTTTGGGAGAAAGGACTAGAAATGTGATTTATTCATAAATCATACCCTTCCCATAAAATATTTTTTAAATAATTAGATGTTTAAAAAATATATTCTCTCTGTTCAAAAATATAAAATATTTTTAACTGAATCTTATCTCTCAATAAAATAATTATTTACTTTTCAATTAATCATATCTTTTCATATTTTTTTTATTAAATACTCTATAGTAAATATAAAATAATTATCAATAGGGATACTTTAAAAAAAAATAATGATTACATCTCGAAAAATTAAAAAATATCTTATATTTTTAAACATTCAACTCTTTAAAAAATACCTTATTTTTTTTAAAAGAGAGAATAAAATATTTTTA